CAGATAGGAGTTTCTTGATGTTTTATTATTAACATCCCCCCAAAGAGCAGTGAGTGCCCCAGAGAAATAAATGAGGAGACCCACTCTCCAGCAGCAGGGACTCTGTGTCCTGTCCTTTCCCAGACTTTGTCAGCCCAGCTTGATGAACAGAATTCCCAGTAGCTGAGGGGAGACACACCCAAAGCAAAGTCAAACTGGAGGAAGCTGGTGAGATGATGGCTCAGTGGGTAAAGGTGCTTGCTGCTAAGCCTGATGAATTCAATCCCTAAGGCCCACAAGGTGGAAGTTGAGAGTCAACTTTTGATTCCTGCAGGGTTTCCTCTGACCTCCATATGTGTACAGTGGCACAGAGCGCACATCTCACACCGCACAAACTTTCTTTTTCTTCTCTTTTATTTTCTGGTTTTTTGTTTGTTTGTTTTGTTTTGTTTTTTGTTTTTGTTTTTGTTTTGAGACAGGGTTTCTCTGTGTAACAGTTCTGGCTGTCCTTGCAGACTATGCTGGCCTCGAACTCACAGAGATCTGCTTGCCTCTGCCTCCCAAGTGCTGGGATTAAAGGCGAGTGCCACCATCGCCTGGCCACACACAAATATTTTTACAATTTTTTTTTTATGTGTATGAATGTTTTGTCTGTGCACCAACCATGTGTGTTGCCAGGATCAGAAGAGGGCGTTGGACTCGGGTAATCGGTGACGGGCCCTCGTCCGTGGTCATTGGTCTGCAACTGGGAAAGGATGGGGCAGATGAACGCAGTTCTGTCAGCTGAAATTTTTGGCTAATGATGTAAGATTAAGCCTCCAGCCTCCTTGCCCTTTGCTCCGCTAGAGGACTACATTTCCCAGAATCCTCTACTATGACTTCCTATGAGGTTGCACCAATAGGAAACCTCTGTTCTCTATCTTCCGGTAGCGGCTGCAAAAGAGTAGGAGCAACTGATCACACTCGTCTTCAGGTCTTCGATTACAACCGCGTGGAGAGGGCCTCTTCTGTTTTCTTCCGCTAAATCCGTTAATTATTTTGTTTGTGAAAAGGGTCTCATTATATTTCCAAGATGTCCTGGAATTCTCTATCTTTAGCAGGCTATCCTTAGAACTCATAGAAATCCCGCCTGCTCTGCCTTTCCAGTGCACCACCACGCCGGGCTCGTTTTGTTTTGTTTGGAAGGATTCTTGTAGCCCAGGCTGGCCTCAAACTCCTGATTCCCCTGCCCACGCCTCCCGAAGCCCAGGATCATTGGTGTATTCCACCATGCCTGGCTTTCGACCAAAAAAGGTTTTTGGGTTTTTTGTTTTTTAAGTATCACTCCTTTCTTGACTGTGAGTGAACATGTGTGTTTGCGCATGTCATGGTGTGCGCGTGTGGCGTGTGGCGGTTAGAGAACAACTCTGACAGACGGTTCTTTCCACCATGTGGGTTCAGAACGTCGAAGTCAGGTCATCCGGCTTGGGATTGAGTGCCGTTTCCAGCTAGGCCATCTTGCTGGCCCTCTTTCTGTGGTGTGTGTGTGCAAGCATGTTTGGAAGTGCATGCTTAAACATAATGTCAGATGTTGATCTTGGTGTCTGCTATCAGTTTTTAAATTATTTATTCATTTGATTGAGGTATGGGAAGCCACAGCTCAAATGTGGAGGTCTGAGGACACCTTGTTGATTCTCCATCCACCTTATGAGTTCTGGGTATCCTACATCATCCTCATGCTGTGGGGCAAACATTTTACAGGCTCAGACCTTGAAGTTTTTGTTTTGAGACAGGGTCTCTGTGTAGTTCCGGCTGTTCTGGAACTTGCTGTGTAGACCAGGCTGGCAACCCTTTTAATCCTCCAGCCCCCCACCTTGCATGTGGGGAGTGCAGGCTCCACCACCACAATGGGCCCAGATGAAAATCTCCATTTTCAGAAGGAAAGCCTGTGTTTTTGTTTAAAAGTTGGAACTTGGCATAGTGGTGCACACCTTTAATCCCAGGACTCGGAAGGCAAAATCAGGCGGATCTCTATGAATTCCAGGCCAGCCTGGTCTACAGAGCTAGTTCCGGGGCAGCCTGGCTAAATAGTGAGATCCTGTCTCAAAACCAAGAAGTTGGGGAATGTTCTCCTAATATTTATTGCTTAATCCATGTGATCAGGACATACCATAATCCATTATCTCACAAGTCCAGGCTGTGTAAAAAAAAAAAAGGGGGTGGGGGCAGGTTTACTGAAAAGCTCTGGCTGTTACCTCTGTGTGGTGTGTACACTTTCTGTGTGCCTGTGGGCAGAGGGGTGCGGTGGGGGGTGTTGTACTGCCTTAGTCACTTGAAGGGAGAGTCTCTAGCTAAATTTGGAACTAGGCTGTAGCATCTTTTGTGTGTCAACCTCCCCAGTGCTGGGACTGACAGTGTAACCCTTCTCTTCCTCTTTCTAGAGGTGGCCCTCTAGGAGGTGACTAGATCTGCCAGTAGGAGGAGCATTTTCCCCAGGGATGGAGTTGTGATAGGACCTGGATGATTCACAGCAAGAACAGGTTGTCATGAAGTGAAGGTTCCCTCTGTGTCCTGTACCTTTCAAGCACACCTCTCTGCTCTCCCCAGACCAGAGACATTCACCTTCCCTGAACCATTATTTAAAATGAACCCCTGGCTGGGGGTGGGGCATGAGGGTGATTCCGGAGGTTCACGGTCAGTCAGCTACACAGTGAGTTTAGGGCCAGCCTAAGATACAGGAGTCCCTTAAAAACAAAGAAACAGTGCCAACAAGAATTCTAAAGCCAGTTGTGGCAGCACACACCAGTGATCTCAGTACTTGGGAGGTTGAGGCGGGGGTTTGGTTCATTGAGATTGGCCTACACAGTAAGATCATATCTCAAGACCCCAAACTCCAAACAAAAATGTATCAAATAGTATTTGGTGACACTGCCTGTCTGCAGGAGGACTGCCATGGGTTTAAGGCCAACCTGGGCTACATATGGAGTTTGAGGCCAGCCTGGGCTATAGAGTAAGACTATCTCAAAAAGCAAAACAGAAGAGCCTGACTGAGGATGTGACCCAGTTGGCGTTGCCCCTGCCTAGCATGGGTAAAGCCTGGGTCCAGGTAGTGCATGCCTGTGAGTCCAGCTCTGGGGAAGTAGAGGCAGGAGGACCATCCTAGGAATCAGAAAATGAAAAGGAGCCAGGCATGGCATCACACAGGCATTCCTAGTGCTCAGGAGGCAAAGGCAGGTAGATCTTTGTGAGTTTGAGACCAGCCTGGTCTAGTGAGGTCAGCCAGAGATAATTAGTGAGAAACCGTCTCAAAAGGGGGTGGGGGACTGGAGATGGTTCAGAGGATAAGAGCACTGGTTGCTCTTCTAGAAGTCCTGAGTTCAATTCCCAGCAACCATATGTTGGCTCACAGCCATCTATAGTGGGATCTGGTGCCCTCTTCTGACGTATAGGCAAATATGCTGGAAGAACAAAAGGAAGGAAGGAAGGAAGGAAGGAAGGAAGGAAGGAAGGAACAAATCTTCCATAACTTTCTGTTGTGGAATATGTGAAGATATATCTTTGCCAAGGCATCTCTTGATTGGTGTAATAAAGAGCTGAATAGTCAATAGCTAGGCAGGACAAGGTTAGGTGGGACTTCTGGGCAGAGAGAAAAGAAGAGATGAATCTAGGCATGGGACTGATGCCAGAGTAGACATAGAGGAAGCAGGACATACAGGAGGAGAGGTGAAAGCCATGAGCCACGTGACAGCACATAGATTAATAGAAATGGGTTAATCTAAGTTATAAGAGCTAGTTAGAAACAAACCTAAGCTAAGGCCAAGCTTTTTTTTTTTAATATTTGTTTACTTTTTATGTGAGTGCCCTGCTTTCATGTATACCTATAGGCTGGAAGAGGTCAGATTCCGTTATAGATGGTTGTGAGCCACTGTGTGGTTGCTGGGAATTGAACTCAGGACCTCTGGAAGAGCAGCCAGGGCTCTTAACCTCTGAGCCATCTCTCCAGCCCTAAGGCCAAGCTTTTTAATTAATAAGAAGTCTCCATGTTATAATTTGGGGCCTGCCCGATCCTAGAAAGCCTACTACAACTTTCTGTAACAAATAAGAGCTAAACCTCTCCCTGAGCCCACAGGTCACAAATGATCTGTGTCAATATACCCCCTGGCTCACTCTCATCTAGCCACAGGATCAAGGTGGCCTCAAACTCAGAGATTCCCCTGGTTTCTCCCTTCCAAGTTCTGGGATTAAAGTTCTGTGTCACAACACCCAGTACGAGTTAGTTTTATTTTTGTGTGTTTGCCTGTGTGGGCCTATATGCACTCAGGTGCAGGTGCCCAAAGAAGCCAGAGTGATGCATTCCCTGGATCTGGAGCTGTGGGTGCTGCTGGCTCTCTGACCACAAAGCCATCTTTCCAGCCCCATGATAAACTTGTACTCACGTCCCCAGGCACCAGGCCAGGTAACAACTCCTCAGAGAAGCCATCTTGGCTTCCTTACTGCTCATATCACAAGAAAATGTTAGGGCTTTTGTTTGTTTGTTTTGTTGTTTTGTTTTTCAAGACAGGGTTTCTCTGTGTAACAGCCCTGGATATCCTAGAACTCCCTTTGTTCAAATCCACAGAGATTCGCCTGCTCCCAAACGCTGGGATTAAGGCTGTGCATCACCATTCCTTGGCTAGTCATCAAATGTTTTGAACTGAGACATTTCTGTCTTCTCTTGACTCTTGACTCCACCACAGCAGAGATTTCAGACTTTCCCTCACTGCCGTGTCTCTGGCCCCTAGAACACTGTTCAGCATTTTCTGTGTTCTCCATAAAGAGTTTGACTGGAGCTGGTGAGATGGCTTAGTGGGTACAGGACCTTGTGACCAAACCTGATGACCCAAGTTTGATCCGTGGGATCCACATGTTTAAGGAGAGAACCGACTCTAGCATGCTGTCCTCTGTCTTACATCCACACGTGTGTTGTGGCATGTGCATGCACACAACCAAATCAGTTGATGTCACTTTTTTCAAAGTTGAACTTGTTCCAGAGAGGTGGGGTTTTACTGCACCGCTGCTGCTCCCAAGGAGACTGAGCTCAGGGGAAGCTCTGGGTCCTGGTGATTCTCAGAAATTTGACGAAGCAGCCCTGAGACACAGATAGGCCAGAGCTGTTAGCAGCTCAGGAACTCCAGGGCTCTCTGAAGCCCACCCTTTGGCCACTCCTGTCCCTGTGGAAGAGGTAGAGTTCTGGGGTTCTTTCATGTGTGGCCTGGCTTCCTTTTCACTCCCTTCTCCCAATCTGTGTTAGAGAATGGGTGTGACCAGTCAGCCCATCCTCAGGGGCTGTGTGATCTCAGGCAAGTTAAGGTGCTTCTCTGTGCCTTGGCTGCCCCAACCCCAACAGGACCAATACTATGAGAGTTTTGTAAGGACTTCAAGAATTCACATGGAATGAATCAGCTGTTAATTCTTCCCTTTCTTGTTCTTCTTTTTTCCCCTCCAAGACAGGGTCTTATTATATAGTCCCTGCTGTCCAGGAACTTACTAAGTAGACCAGGTTGGTTTCAAATTCACAGAGATCTGCCTGCCTTTGCCTCTTGAGCGCTGGGATTAAAGTTGTGGACCATAATGCCTGGCTTCTCTTTCCCTTCTTTTTCTTCTGTTTTAGTTTTAAATTTTTGTTTTATTATTAGTGTGTGTGTGTGTGTGTGTGTGTGTGTGTGAGAGAGAGAGAGAGAGAGAGAGAGAGAGAGAGAGAGAGAGAGAGAGAGCGCTTAAGCATGTGTGCATGTCCCTCAGAGGCCAAAAGAGGGTACCTGTCCTGGTTGACTTTTGTAAACATGACACAAACTAGAATTATCTGGAAAGAGGAAACTTCAGTTGAGAAAAAAATGCCTCCATCAGATTGGCCTGTGGGCAGATATATGAGACATTTTTAATTTTTGATTAATGATAGATGTGTGAGCAGTACCATCCCTGGGCAGGTGGTTCTGAGTGCTATAAGAAAGCAGGCTAAACCATGGAAAGCAAGCCAGTAAGCAGCACAACTCCATGACTTCTGCATCAGCTCTTGTCTCTAGGTTCCTGCCCTGACTTCCTTCAGTGATGGACTATGACCTGTAACACAAATAAACTCTTTCCTTCCAAGTTTCTTTGGTCATAGTGTTTTATTACAGCAGTAGAAACCCTAAGACAGCCCCAGGTGGTGGTGGTGCATTCCTTTAATCCCAGCACTTGGAAGGTGGAGGCAGGCAGACCTCTGAGTTCAAGGCCAGTCTGGTGTACAGAGCTAGCTCCAGGACAGCCAAGGCTACACAGAGAAACTCTGTCTCAAAAATCCAAAAGAGAAAGGGAGGAAGGGAGGGAGGAAGAGAGGAAGGGAGGGAAAGAAAGGAACCCTAAGACAGAAATTAGTTCCAGGAGTAGGGTATTTCTGTAACACACCTGACCATGTTTTTGAGAAGACTGTGGAAGGACTTTGGAACTATGGGCCAGAAAGGCCATTGAATGTTCAGAGCTGTGCTGACTAGTTTTTTGAGAGGAGGAAACCTCAATGAGAGAAACGCCTCAATAGATCAGGCTGTAGGCAAGCCTATGGGCCAATTTCTTAATTAGTGATTGATGGGGGAGGGTCCAATCCATTGTGGGTAGTGCCACCCCTGAGCTGGTGTTCTTGAGTTCTGTAAGAAAGCAGACTGAGCAAGCCAGAAATCAGCACCCCTCCATGGCCTCTGCATCGGTTCCTGCCTCCAAGTTCCTGCTCTGGCTTCCCTCTGTGAAATGTAAGTAAAATAAACCCTTTCTCCCAAGTTGTGTTTGGTCATGGTGTTTCATCACAGTGATAAAAACCCTAAATAAGATAAGAATTTAATGAGTGCTTTGGGAACTTGGAAGAAAATTCTGAGAGCAGTACATAGCATGATGGCCTGGCTTGTGAAATTTCAGAGGGAAGTTTGAGAGGCCCTTAAAGACTCTATGAGAGCCATTTAACATTTTGAATTGAATCTATAGCTCAGCCTGGTGTTGGTGGCACACATGCCTTTAATCCCAGCACTGGGGAGGCAGAGGCAGAGGCAGGCGGATCTCTGTGAATTCAAGGCCATCCTGGTCTACAGAGCGAGTTCCAGAACAGGCTCCAAAGCAATACAGAGAAACCCTGTCTCGAAAAACAAACAAGCAAAAGTCTATAGCTCTGATTAGCTGGAACTCAAAAGACTGGCTGTGACTAACAAGAGACAAAAAAGCACTAAACTGTAACCTTCAATCCTTAGCAGCTGGGGCTGAAGAATCAGCTGAGACAAGAAGAGATCAGCATCCCTGAGACATCTATGGAAAAGTGCATCCTCCTGATCAGCACTCAGATGCTGTGGTCCAGAGGCGGCCGAGGCTGTACCTCATGCTGGCATCTGAACTTGGTAATGTGTGAGCTTCCCAGGCAGTACTGGATTTGAAGACAAGAGGGTCATGGGACGCAGCTGAGACTGGGCGCTGGGCGCTGGGCGAGGCCGGGAGAGGCCACTGTGATGGTGCAGCCCCAGTGGCTGCAGAGAGCCCGGTACTGAAGGGAGCCTGGAGAGCGCCTTCGGCTGGCATTATCCGGCAGGGTTAGTCCCTGAAGAGTGCCTGGCAGAGACTACTGAAATGCCATCCCAGTTGCAATGGGGACCCAAGCATTTTGGAGATGCCAATCCCATGGGATGACCAGCAATGGCAGCAGCTGCTGTGGAGTGGAGCTGACCTCAGTCTGTGAGAGGAGCTATGTGAGCATCAGACCCCAAGAGGGGAGTTCCACGGCCCTCTGGAACCTGGATCAAGAGTCTCAGACCTCCAGCACTGAGCTTCACGCTGTTGGTCTGTGGTTTTGCTTTGGTTTGAATGTGACCCAGTTCTTCCCTCTTGGAGTAAGACAGTATGTAACTTTAAATTTTTTTTTTTTTTTTACAGGAGCCCCCATTAAGACATTTTGGATTTTTAGAGAGACTTTAAATACTTAAAAGAGACTACTTGTATGGTGTTTGAATTTTTAAGGATGATGGGACTTTTAAAAGTCAAAATGTAGAATGTTTTGGTTGTTTTGTTTTTTTAAATCAGGGCGGTGGTGGCACACAACTTTAATACTGGTACTTTGGAGGCCAATGCAGGCAGATCCCTGTGAGTTCCAGGACAGCCAGGGCTACACAAGAGAAGCTGTCTTTCAAAAAAAAAAAAAAAAAAAAGCAAGAAACAATTGCAATGCTACTGTGATATTAATATAAGATCTTGGGGTAAACAAGAAAGGAAGGGTGTGGTTTAATTGTGTTGTACTGGTACATCAAACTGACAAGTGGTATTTTGTATTTCAGTCAACTTGAAACAAGCTAGAGTCATCGGGAAGAGGAACATCAATTGAGGAAAATCCTTCGTTAGATTGTCCTGTGGGTAGATCTGTGGGCATCTGCTTGGATTGATGGTTGATGTGGGAGGAGCCAGTATAGCCACTGTTGGGTGTACCATTCTCTGGGCGGTGGTCCTGGCTTGTATAAGAAAGCAAGCTGAACAAGCCGTGAATAAGCCAGCAAGCAGTGTTCCTCTATGGCCTCTGCTTTAGATCCTGCCTTGACTTCCCTCAATGATAAGCTAAAATGTAAAGTGAAATAAACCCAGGTTTACTCCCCAGGTTGCTTTTAGTCATGGTTTTCTTAAGCACAGTAATAGAAACCCAGTTACAAGCATTCATTAGCTGCCTATTGTGGGTGTTGGAGCCTGAACTCAGGTTTCCTGGTTGAGCACCAAGTGTTCTTAACCACTGAGCTACCTATCCAGTCCCCGTGTTTTTTGTTTTTCTTTTGAGACAAGGTCTCACATAGCACAGGCTAGCTTAGAACTCTTTTATATAGTGGAGGATGACCTCGAACTCCTCATTTCCCAAGTACTGGGATTATAAGTGTATGCAACACAGTTGGTTTATGTGGTCCTGGGGACCAAACCAAAGGTCTCATGCATTCTAGGTTAGCACACTACTTACTTGGTTACATTCCCAGCCTTGGTTTCATTTATTTTATTTACTTGTTTGTTTACTTAAGATAGTATCTAAGTATATCGCCCAGGCTGACCTCAAGCTTGGCTTCTGCTTCAACCTTCAAAGTGCTGGGATTATGGGCAAGTGCATCCCTCCTCCTCCTCCTCCTCCTCTCTCTCCTCCTCTTTCCTTTTTACCCTCCCCATGGGTATATGCATCCCTCTTTCTCCTTCCTCCTCTCTCCTGTCTCTTAGCCTGAACCCAGGGCTTCACACATACTAAGGATATGTTCCCGCACTGAGCCTGTGTTTCTTATTTCTGAGTACTCTTTACATATGAATGAATAGAAGGGCTGCATGAACTATATTCAACGTCTCATTCCTTTCTCTGTATTTTCTCATTCATCTCTCAGTCTGGTGAGCTGGGTGCTTCTCCTCTCTGTCTTATGGGAGAGGGGACTGGAATACACAGTCTTCTAACCATGTACCCACACCCCTTTCCTAACGATGCACCCATGGCAATGTAGCTCTGCCGGTAAAGCGCTTGCTGCCAAGGCTGAAGACCTGAGTTCAAGCCCCAAGGTCCACATGGCAGAAGGAGAAAACTGATTCCTGAAAATCGTTCTCTGGCCTTCATATATGCCTTGTGGCACATGTGTGCCCCGCTAAATGGATAAATGATATAATTTAAAAACAAGCACACAAAAGCAATAGTTTTCCATTCCCTGATGACCATCAGAGTTTCTATTCAAATGAATTTCTCAGTGTATCTGGGTGTGAGGTGAGGAGGTCAGTCCAGCCTGGGCCGCTTATGGTTCACATTCAGTAAGGTGGACTGTGGCCTCAAGTGAATTTTCAGGGAGAGTCCCCTATTTACCATCTTATACATATTATATGTGCATATGTATACATAATAGAGTGTGTGCTAGAGTGAAATCAGAGGCCTCATGGGAAAGGGAATACACAATAGAGCCAAGTTCCTTTAGCCCAATCTTGTCAATCAAAACAAGGACCCACCAGTGCTGAGCCCCTTAGCAATCAAACCCCTTCCTCTTAGTCCCAGGAAAGGAAGCTCTGAACACTAACAACAATGGGGCCCAAGATTATCCTCACTCCTGTGGCCCTCAGTCACTCTTTTTGTTCAATTAATTTTTTTTAATTTTGTTTTAAGTGTAAGGGTATTTTGCATGTATGCATGTATGTTGTGAAATATTACTTTAAGGTGTGTTACATTTGTTTATGCTGTGGAACATTTGTTTAATGATGTAAAGATGTGTTGCATATGTTTAACTCTGTGAAGCTGTGTACTTTGCCTGCCTAAAATACCTGATTGGTCTAGTAAAGAGCAAGGCAGGAGAAAGGATAGGTGGGGCTGGCAGGCAGAGAGAACAAACAGGAGGAGAAATCTGGGAGGAAAAGATCAAAGATCAAGAAAAGGAGGAGAGGAGGACATCAGGGGCCAGGCACCCAGCTACACAGCAAGCCATGATGGAGTAAGAAGTAAAGAAAAGATATACAGAAATAGAGAAGGGTAAAAGCCCAGAGGCAAAAGATAGACAGGATATCTATTTATTTATTTGGTTTTTGGGTTTTTTGAGACAGGGTTTCTCTGTGTAACTTTCCTGGCTCTGTCCTGGAACTCACTTTGTAGACCAGGCTGGCCTCAAACTCACTGAAATCTGCCAGCCTCTGCCTCCCAAGTGCTGAGATCAAAGGTGTGTGCCAACACTGATGGCTTTTTTTTTAAGATACACAACACGCACACACACACACACACACACACACACACACACACACACTCTTCTGCCTGCATTATGCCTGCACACCAGAAGAGGGCACCAGATCTCATTATAGATGGTTGTGAGCCACCATGTGGTTGCTGGGAATTGAACTCAGGACCTTTGGAAGAGCAGCCAGTGCTCTTAGCCTCTGAGCCATCTCCCCAGCCCCTAGACAGGATAATTTAAGAAAAGCTGGTTAGAAATAAGCCAAACTAAACCAGGCATTTATAAATGAGAATAAGCCTCTTTGGGATTAATTTGGGAGCCGGGGGGTGGGCCTCCCAAAGAGTAAAATAAAAGCAACCAGTGACACGTACATGTATCGTGAGAGTGCCTGGTGCCCACAGAAGGTATCCAATCCCTTGGAACTGAAATTATGTACAGTTTTATGCCACCATGTGGGTGCTGGGCCTCAAGCCCAGATGCTCTACAAGAACAAGAGCATTGAACGACCACCAAGACATCTCTCCAGCCTTATTAATTCCTGACTATATGCCCATGCTCATGGTACACATGCCATGGTGGGCATATGGAATTGTCCCACAGACTAAACTCAGGTTGTGTCGGCCTTGGGAGTAAGCCTGTACCCACTAAGCATCTTGCTGGCCAGACTCATTGATCCCCCTGCCTCAGCCTCCTCAGTGCTGAGGGTTATCAGTTTGAGCCACCCTGACCAATTACTATTCCGTCTTTTTCAGCTGATAATCTCAGTGTTTTGTCACAGTATCGGGAAGCAGACTTGTTAGCCCAAAGTGATGTTATCAAAATGAGCTGAACAGTCAATGAGTCTCTCTCTCTCTCTCTCTCTCTCTCTCTCTCTCTCTCTCTCTCTCTCTCTGTGTGTGGGGGTGTGTGGGTGACTTTGGGCGCAGTTCCCACAGTTGTGAGCTCCTGGAGTCTCTAAGACAACACACAATAAAATGTTTAAGTTACCTCTTGGTAGATGAGATCTGAGGACATACTATGCGCATCACAGTTTGCGCTGCCTATAGATTTACAACAGCCCCTGGGGTAGGTGTGGCCAGCTGTCACTTGAAAGGGAGAGCCAGCAAAATCTGTGTAATTATTTACCCACAGCACTTCAGCTGCAAGAGAAGGGGAATTAATGACTCCCCAAGGCCTGTGGAGGTGTCTCAGTGGGAGGAACACTTACTGCCCAAGCATGAGGACTTGAGTTCGAATCCCCAACAACCATGAAAAAAGCCAGGCATGCCCTTTGTGCCCGTAACTCCAGTGCTGGGAGGCAGAGATGGGGAATCACCGGGGTTTGCCGGCTGCCAGTCTAGCTTCCAGATTCAGTGAGAGACCCTGCCTCCAGGGACCAAGGTGGGGAGTGATGGAGCAGGACACTCGATGTCCTCCTGGACACACTTGCTCACATACATTATTTAGACTCCCCTGTAGATGATAAAGCAGCACCAAGAAAGTCATTGTCACTCCAGAGTCACCGCACTCTTCTCCCAGGGCTCTGACACCACAGAATAGAGCAGAAACTAGCCTCTTTTCTGTAATTCATAAGGACCTGTCCAGGTTACCTCCCAATCTGCGCTCAGGCTGTAGTTGAACTCACGATGATGCTCCTGCCTCAGCCTCTCATGTGCTGAGATTGCAAGTGTGACCTGCCGCATAAGTCCTTTTAAAGACAATGTTTGTTTTGTTTTGTTTTGTTTTGAGACAGCATCTCACTGTGTAGCCCTGGCTGCATGGAGCTGGCATGTAGACCAGGGCCTGCCTCTGCCTTTTGAATACTGGGATTAAAGGCATGCACCACCATGCCCAGTCTACATTTTCTCTACTTTTATTTCTCTATTATTATTATTATTATTATTGCATATTTGTGCTATGACACAAGTGTATAGATTAGAGGACAACTTCAGTAGTCAGCTCTTGTCTTCTGCCATGAGGGTTCCAGGGCCTGGACTCAGACTGTGAGGTACATGGCAAGCGCCTTTACTTACTAAGCCGTCTTGCCATCTTTGTTCACTCTTTTCAATCCACAGATATCTGACTCTGGACATGCAGGTCTTCAGAGAACTAACTGGGGCTCATTTCTATCATGGTGACTGCCCATCAGACTTCTCAAGGGGCTTGAGATCATCTATTCAGAAGGCTGGACACTGGGGTAGCACCTGCAGGAGCACCTCCATTGTCAGCTGAGTGAGTGAGTTCAAGGCCTGGTCAGCTACATGAGACTCATTTTTAAACAGTTGAAATGTGCCTGGTGTAAGGAAAAAGGACCAGCTAAAGAAACACACCCTGAGCAGAGCCAAAGAAACATACTTTGGTCCTGGAGTCAGAGCCAATGAAAGAAATACACCCTGGCCCTAAAATTAGAGCCAAAAGACTAAAAAGAACCAGTGAAGGAAACACACTTTGGCCCTGAAACCAAAGCCAAATCTGACCCTAAACCTGTGCAGAAAACCAACCAATGCCTGAGCAGGAGATCTAGCCATTCTGACCTCAGGGATTGAAATCTGACCAATCCCCACCCTGGAAATCTCCCTGGAAAAACTCTGCCCCTAAGAATCCCTCTATATACCACACACACACACACATACATACCCCTCCGTGTCTGTTCAGCTTGTGCCTGTCAGTCTGTCCTGCTGTCCTCTTCCACCCTGGCAGAGGCAGCCACTCTCCTGAATTATTCCCTCACAAATAAATCTCTTGAATGAGGTTTGGGTGAGACCTTACTTTGTGGGAATGGAGTGGGGAAGAGAAATAACAACTTTTCAGGGAGCCAGAGCAGAGCCGAGCAGGGCTATAACACTTTCACCTGGGAACCCTTCCCCTAGCAAAGAGGAGTTGTTACACTACACTCCTGGGACCCAAGCCAAACTATAACTTCACTGGGGAAGCCCTCCCCTGCCAGAGCAGAGCTGATACACTGGGGAAGCCTTCCCCTGAAGCAGGGCTGTAAGCAACTAAGCTTACTGTGACCTGTGGTATTCTTTGGCTCTGAGTGCCAGAATACCTTTCCATCCCATCTGTAACACTCAGTATTCTGTGACTCCCAAGTGCCAGAATCTATCCCTGTCCATCTCATCCAATCTGTCACAATGCTTACACCTGGGAGAAGAGTTTGGTGTTGTTTGTCTAAGGTACCCCACACAAGAAAAGGTAAAATGATCAATTTCCCACTATATCTATTTCAGCGGTATGTTATAAAAGGCATGACTCACCTTCTCCATGGCAATGTTCCACTGTGTAGAGAAGTCATCTGGCTCATTGTATCCGTGATAATTCCTCCTCAGGGTCAGAAAGGTGTGTTCCAAGGCCACATCCTGAAGATGAGAGGCCAGATCCTTCCGGGAGAGGCCAGAAGCAGAAATGCCAAGGGAGAAAGAGCCACTGGTGAAGAGAGCCTCCTGCCTCTGGTCCTCCCTCCCTCCCTCCCTCCTTTCCCCCTCTCCTTCCCTTATTCTTTCTTTTCCTTGAGACAGGGTCTCATGTACCTCAGGCTAGACTCAGATTCACTATATACCCAAAGCTGACCATGAACTTCTGACCCTCCTACTTCTGCCTCAGGTGCCAGAGTTACTGAGGTTTATTTCTTGGAGCTAGAAGTCAAGGGGTTTCTTTGGCTACCTTCACTTTCTCTCCTTTCCTCACAGTTCTGAAGGGCTAGAATCATTTCGGTGAGGCTGACATGGTACTGTCTGGAGAAGAGCAGAGCAGGAGTTCAAAGGCCAGCACATCTACCTGGTCCACTGAGTAATCACAGAACCTGAATCACCTGCTCTTTTTTTTTTTTCAACAAAGTAATTTATTTTTTTTCCTGAGAGACTAAATTCAGTACAATATTTGTTTTCGTAACATTCAACATGTTTTATGTTAAACTTAACCACTTTCTATGCAGTGACTGTGGTGGAGTGGTCTATTTTATTTGACTACCCTCAATGTAATTCATTTGATAGTTCTAAACATATCAAAAATCACCTGCTCTTTCCTGCAAGCTGGCTACATCATCACTTTAGCTGCAACTCCATTAAAACCGGCCACTTGGCAGCCAGGCATGGTGCTCGCTCCTGTCATCCCAGCACTGAGGAGGTATAGGCAGAAGGGTCCAGAGCCCATAGTCAGCCAACTACTTAGTGAGTTGCATTAAATATTACTTTAACCAACCAAATTTCTTTTGGAACATATAAAGGACAAATTTAGCTTTGGTTTTTTTTAATAGTATTTTGTTTGTTTACTTATTGAAACAGAGTCTTAGTAAATCTCCAAAGGGTGGAACTCTCTATGTAGACCAGGCTGGCCTCAAATACACAGATCCACCTGCCTCTGCCTTCTGAGTGCTGGGATTAAAGACATGCACCACCATGCCTGGCCTCCAAATTTTGATTTTTAAAGTAAAGGTTTTGAAATATTGGGGTTGCTGAGGATGTGGCTGAATTGGTTAGAACTTGCCTAGCATTCATGAGGCTCTGGTTCAGTCCCCAGCACCACAAAATCCAGGTACAGTGGTCACACAGCAGGGAGGTGGAGACAAAAGTGTCAGGAGTTCAGGGTCATCCTCAGCAATGACATAAATCCATATTCAAAATGTTCAGAGACGGGAGAGTCAACCAGGAGAACCCTCCCGCCACTGTCCCCAGCATCCTCTCAAAAAGTACCTCCAACTGCCCCGGGGTGACCAGCCTGTCCTGTGCTTTAGGTCCCCATGTGCCACCTGCACCAGGGTGACCAGTCCTGTGCTTTGGGTCCCCATGTGTCACCTGCACCAGGGTGACCAGTCCTGTGCTTTGGGTCCCATTCTCTTCCTCATGCACCACACAGCTCTCTCTGCACCTGACTGTCCCCAGCAATGACAGGTTTTCACTACTTGTCATTTCTCTGTACCACTGACTGCTTACTGTCCCATGGCCCCCTGTACACAGCCCTCTCATGAGATTGACCCAAATTGAGTAGGTGAATCAAGGAGCCTCTTAGCTCCTTGAGCATAGTAACTTAGACACATTTTTTGTGGTTTTGAGGTATATTCTTGGTAAGTAGCCCAGGCTAGACCTGAGGTCATGATCCTCCTGCCTCAGCCTCCTGGATTCTGCAATCAGAGGTGTTTGCCATGACTTTTGGATTCAGACACCTGCTCTTCTCTCTCTCTCTCTCTCTCTCTCTCTCTCTCTCTCTCTCTCTCTCTCTCTCTCTCTCTCTCTCTCTCTCTCTCTCTCTCTCTCTCTCTCTCTCTCTCTCTCTCTCTCTCTCTCTCTCTCTCTCTCTCTCTCTCTCTCTCTCTCTCTCTCTCTCTCTCTCTCTCTCTCTCTCTCTCTCTCTCTCTCTCTCTCTCTCTCTCTCTCTCTCTCTCTCTCTCTCTCTCTCTCTCTCTCTCTCTCTCTCTCTCTCTCTCTCTCTCTCTCTCTCTCTCTCTCTCTCTCTCTCTCTCTCTCTCTCTCTCTCTCTCTCTCTCTCTCTCTCTCTCTCTCTCTCTCTCTCTCTCTCTCTCTCTCTCTCTCTCTCTCTCTCTCTCTCTCTCTCTCTCTCTCTCTCTCTCTCTCTCTCTCTCTCTCTCTCTCTCTCTCTCTCTCTCTCTCTGTGTGTGTGTGTGTGTGTGTGTGTGTGTTTGTGTGTGTGTGTGTGTGCGCGTGCGCGCACGCGCGCGCGCGCGCGCGCACACGCGCACACTCGAGCACGTGCATTCATGTGGAGGCCAGAAGCCAACCTCGAGTGTCCTCCACCTTGTGTTTTCTGTTTTGTTTTGAATTGCATTTGCTTTATCTTACATGTATGTGTGTGCATGTACATATGGAAGTCAGCCAACAACGTAGAGTCAGTCCTCATCCCACCTCTTGAGTCCTGGGACGAAACTCAGGTCATCAGGCTCAGTAACAAGCACCCTTGCCCAGTGAGCCGTCTTGCCAGCCACACCTGGTGTTTTAACGCAGGGTCTCTCACTGCCTTGGAACTCACTGATAGGTCTAAACTGGCTGGCCACGGGTCCCAGAGATCCCACTGTCTCAGTCTCCGTGTGCTGAGACACAGAAGTGCACCACCATGCCTGATTCATAGGGTGCTGGGGATGGAACCCAGGACATGTGCATGCTGCCCTGGTAATCTATGAACTGAGCCACGCCCCAGCCTGTCTCCAGGCCTTTAGATGGATTTCCTGTTCTGTGACTGGCCCAGTGACCCACAGGGAGGCTGTCTCCTTTCCCCAGTTTCCCGTCCCCATAAGCACATCCTGTCCTCACCTCCCAAATAGAGCACATGACCTTTTAAAGCCCCTGGGCAGTGACAGACTCAGCCCCTCACTGGGGATTCTAGGGAGGGGTTTCCGGCTAAGACACCTCATACCCCTAATCTCTGGACATCTTTTAAAATTCTACAAATGTTCCTGCCTTGCCCATTACCTCCCGTCTCCCTGAAGAAGACAAATTGGGTGATGACAGGTTCCTGATGTCCTCTGTTGGAGAAGGCTGAGGTTTTCAGCTTTCCCCTCCGGGTTCCAGTATTCCCCCATCTCTGGGCTTCCCCGTGTCAGGGGAGGGCATGGAGTGGGGATGCCTTTGGGGGCCAGACTTCTGATGGCTTCTGTCTCTTTCTGTGAGTTAGGAACTCTGTACTTACAAGTGGGAAGAATACAAGCACCACAGAGGCTGTCACAACTTCCAGGATGACAATGATAACCAGGAACAGGAAACACTGGAGGACACAGAAAGAGGCAGGGCTGGGCTGGGAGCCTGCTTGGTGGGTCCCACTGACCTGGTGCTGAGGAGCGAAGAGCTTCAGTCCTCCACCCCCATTCCACTGGGCTCCAGTTTGAAAGAACTCAGACGTGGTGGGGGTGGGGCAGGAGGTTGCCGGACTTTGTTCTTCCCAGCTCTGTTTCCAGGGTTGGGAAGATCCAGGCACAGGCTGGCCTGGGGGTCTTGAGGGAGCTGCAAGATGGAAGCCTCCTCTTGAGAGGCTTGAAGGGGGAACCAAAGCAGGTGCATGGGGGGAGGACCCAAAGCAGGTGCATGGGGGGAGGACCCAAAGCAGGTGCATGGGGGAGGACCCAAAACAGATGCATGGGGGGAGGACTCAAAGCAGGTGCATGGGGGGAGGACCCAAGGCAGGTGCGTGGGAGAGAGGACCCAAAGCAGGTGCATGGGGGGAGGACCCAAAGCAGGTGCATGGGAGGGAGGACTCAAAGCAGGTGCATGGAGGGAGGATCCAAAGCAGATGCATGGAGGGAGGATCCAAAGCAGGTGCATGGGGGGAGGACTCAAAGCAGGTGCATGGGGGAGGGGACTCAAAGCAGATGCATGGGGGAGAGGACCCAAAGCAGATGCATGGGGGAGAGGACCCAAAGCAGATGCATGGGGGGAGGACCCAAAGCAGATGCATGGAGGGAGGACTCAAAGCAGGTGCATGGGGGGAGGACTCAAAGCAGGTGCATGGGGGAGGACTTAAAGCACGTGCATGGGGGGAGGACTCAAAGCACGTGCATGGGGGGAGGACTCAAAGCAGGTGCATGGGGGGGAGGACCCAAAGCAGGTGTGGAGGGAGGGCCAGAACCAGGAGAGTGCAGATGCATGGGAGGGAGTACCCAAAGCAGGTGCATGGGGGGAGGACTCAAAGCAGATGCATGGGGGAGGACCCAAAGCAGGTGCATGGGGGGAGGACTCAAAGCAAGTGCATGGGGGGGAGGACTCAAAGCAGGTGCATGGGGGGAGGACTCAAAGCAGGTGCATGGGGGGAGGACTCAAAGCAGGTGCATGGGGGGAGGACTCAAAGCAGGTGCATGGGGGGAGGACTCAAAGCAGGTGCATGGGGGAGGACTCAAAGCAGGTGCATGGGGGAGGACTCAAAGCAGGGGCATGGGGGGGGGGGGAA